CCGTAATCCACCATTTTGTATTTTTTTGAAAATAATTAATTAATTACTCAAAAACCCTTTGAGATATTTTTATGAAACTTGGTATAAATAAAAGTAAAACTCAATGAAAAGCGGCCATTACAAAAAAAATTTAAATGGTCGCCATTTTGAAACTAGATGAGCCTGATCGAAGATATTTTTGGAGAAGGTTTATACCTGTAGACTTAAAGTTTATACCAAGTTTCATAAAAAATCTCCAAGGGTTTTTGAGTAATTAATTATTTTCAAAACAATACAAAATGGCGGATTACGGCCAAACTAAGCCGAAATCGAAAAAAAACATTCTTCATTTTCGACTTATTTTTGCATGTAGAATCTAAATTTGCATAGCCCGCTACGCTTTACTGAAACACCCTGTATAAAGATCAGTAGTTAGTTGGTAAGGTTTGATTCAATAATTGTGAATGTAAATTAAATTTATATATAAACTAAGATATTAAAACTTTTCAAAACAATATGAAAATTTAAAATAACACTTTTTAGTTTTTTTGTTTACTTACTATGATAAAAATCCTGATGAGGTTTGCAAAGAATCCACCAAGGACCTTTTAAATTGTCATTTACTTGTTTAAATACAAGGCTTGTCAGTAAATTAAGGTCTTCTTGAGCTCTTGTTGAGGCCAGGTGAGCTACTGTAGTTCAAATCTTAGACCAATGCTGTATTCTTTACTTCATACTACTATTATAGTTGGTCCCCACCACTATGCAACAGTATTATTAGTTTCATCCAAGCCACTTATGCACATACGGCCTGCAGCTCAAAATACTTACCACTTAAATACTTTCTTAATAGCCAATCCCAAGAACCCTTTCTGCCCTTAAAAACATTACTAGTTTATTTAAAAAAGTATATTAAAAGTCAAAACCAACGCTTTATAGCCAACCCCAATTTTGGCAGTTCGGATGACTATTCAACCTTTTGACTTCAGTGGCGGCTAGCCCATAAGGACTCTCGGACACCGCCCTCCCAACAATACATAAATAAATTACACTTTAATATTCTTCGGTTAAATAAAACTAAAATTACTTTAACGAGTACTTTTAACAATATACAGCATAAATATATAAAAAAAATTGGATAATTCAATTCAGTAAAGACTCATTTTTGATTGTCACTTTCATAGTAAGGACGGCGGCTAGACCGTCCCAATCCCAATACATGTAGTCTTATGGCAGAACAACCCAACAGCGCTGAGGGTGCCATGACGTCATTCCAATGCTTTAGAATAGGCGTTTTGGGGCAGAGTCTTAAGTTGCGCGCGCACTCATTGCAGTCACCACAATCCAGATATTCTTTATTGCAAGCTACCGTTATGATGGGTAGAACCATAGATAAAACATAACTTTAGGAGATTGTTTGATCAAATATGTGTCCTCGTCGGAACTGTTCACTAGGTCAAAATCCCACTAGGTCAAACTCATACACACAGCCTACGTTTTTAGTTCTGACTGTACTTGTTGACCTAGCGCTACAGCCTAATATATTGTTTTTGATCTAATGGGACAAAAATAAATTATTTGACCTTCTGGCACTGTTGACTTTCTGCAACGCGTCCATCAGACACGTAACATATCGGTAACTTCTTTGTGAAGTCCATAGTCACATGCAAAAGGAACTTTCAATCAAAAGAGACAAATTAAATAATAGTATTTTTTAATCATCTAGTAAAACATAGTAGTGCACAAAATCATATTTATTCAATAGTTTAGGTTTCAAAATACTAAAAATTAACAACAACAAATTAAAGCTACAATAATGTAATATTCTGTAGATTATTTTTATAACAAAATCAGTAGTAATTCTGCACCATAACACAACAATTAACAAGTCATATTGCATGTACGCTTCAAAAGGATAGGAAACGGAAATTTATATTATACAAGTAAGTACTATACAAATATTAGAAAAATGTAAATCACTAGGTTCAGACACATATTGATATTACCACAGGGTTCTAAGGAAGTGATGATGCATTGCTTTGCTATGTTTAGAAATCACAGGAAACTTGATCATTTGATGAAAAAAATAATTTTTACTTTTATATTCAGATTCAAATAATAATTTTAAAAGACTTATTAGAAAACAGCTTAACATGTAATTTGATTATCAAAAAAAATTAACAGAACAGAGTTTTATTCTGACATTCTCCAAAAAGATTCTTAAATTCCATTTTACGGTCAATGTTAGAATACAATCTAAAAAATTGTTTTGAAGATATTCTATTGCACCTAATTTGCTTTAAAATTTACCTTCTATAGGTCGGCCAGTTAGAAAGCGTCCTCCTCGTAGCATTGGTGCGAGAGAGAGAGATACCGAGCTGTGGGAGTGAGACAGACTATGGCTCTTCCCCCACTCCGCTACCACCCCACCCCAACCTTCCCGAACACAGCTAATCAAATTAAATTATACAGCTGATCAAAATGTAAACAATTACGTTCTTCATAACTTGAGAAAAATAGGTTCTGCAAAAAATATTGTATAGCCTAAATCGCATCAATATTTGAGCATCATGAAATGTTATTATATCATTGTGTAAGCAGTTCCATTTGGTAACACAGGATTCCAACTCCCACGACACCGGGGCGGCGCCGTGTCGGTGTCGTGTCGTGCAGTGTGAAAACGGCCGTTGGCGGAGAGGGGGAACATACCCTCGCTCGCCGTTACCTCCCCTACATGCGCTAAAAATTTTGCGCAGGTCGTTTTCTAACCGGCCTACCTATAGTAAATTGTTTTAAATAACTTTTATTAGGTACCAAAAGAATTATGATATGTCACCTTCTTCAGTAAGGGGTGTGCAAAGTTGTACTTTTGACTCTTTCAAGGATTCGAGCCAAATACTGGAGAAGCCATGATTTATAAGTGTCACAGGTGCTACAAAAACTAACATGAATAAAAATGAAGAAAATGAAATCTTACTAAATGTATGAATACACAACATTTTGAAATCATCAAAAATTCACAAACAGGCTGTAATTTGGCGAATCTGGGCTAAACTTTACTCTTTGTAATTTTATTATTAGTTTACATTGGAAACATCTGTTAATAATGGCATTTTAATGACTGGTACAAGCCACTTTTTCTTGTAGCCCTTTTTGTCAATGAGTCTCTAAAAATGTATTGGAACAGTTTAAAACCAATTTTAATCACACGATAGCTTACCAATAAAAATAAAAATTCTTGAATAAAACATGTTGGCTCAAAAATATACAACTACTTACACACCCCTAACAATCTAATCCTTCTTATGTTAAATTAAGTTCAAAATATAAATTAACTGAAAACACTGCTATAAACCCTTAAAAAAAACGAATTTTTACAACAAACAAAAATCAATACGTAGTTGCATTACGTAACATAAATTTACATTTTACAGTTGGTTACAAGACAAATTTACTTACAAACTATATACATAAATAAATACTGACAAAAGGAATGCTTAACACTTAAATCTAAACAAACATGATATGTGGCCCTCCTGAAAGTGCAATCTGATATGCTGTCTCCTGTCCTTAGTAAAATAAAAGTAAATCATAAAAATATAATCCCTTCCATAGATGGTTTAAGATTAATTTAGAATGATCAGATTTTTCTGCATTTGGCGCTTTGAAGTGGATTAACAGAATGGGAATCACCTTAGATAATTGAAATTCTCTACAAGTTTGTGTACATTTTCCTAAAAGAACGGTTTATTACAGGTCCATCTATCAGTTCTAAAAGATAAAATGGCAGAATATTTTTTAAAGATTTTTTTAGAATGTTTCTACCAATTCAAATTCGCTCTAAAACCATCTGGACAGAAGAAAATAGTCAACCTTAGTGAGAAAATCTGTGACCTTAAAGTAAACAGTGTTCTTTCTCCCTCAGCCTCGTTACTATTTAAGCTGAGATACTTATTGATAATCTGCTACTAAAACATTTCAGTTCACAACAATACAGCATTTTGATAAACAGGTTATTGTAATCTTCTTGAATTTCCAACAATGTGTTTCGCCATAACCTCCTCTAATACAATATGTTATGATTGCTCTAACAAATTATTTCGATTATTACAATTTTGTAAAAAATGTTGAATTAGGTTATAACATATCTAGATACAAATCTGTAAATGGGAGATGCTAAACTTCTTGAACTACATGAATCAAACTACAGCAATTGCAAAACATTCAGGTTAAAAACAAAACAACAATTTTAAAAGGTTCCATATGCAAAGTATGGTGTTTTAAATATCCTTAGTTAATACAAATTATTGTCCAATAAAAACTATTTAGGAGGATTAGGTTTATGCTTAGTTATATGGTATCAAAAGCTATTTAACATTCTTTACGCTGGATGAAAGATTCATTACTGTTTATGGTCCTCAAGCTATGTAACTCACAACAACGAAAAACTAGACCTAGAGAAAAAGAAATTTTGTTCGGTAAAAGAATTAATCCAAATCCCACAATAACATTTAAAAAATCTATCAAAATAAGTTTTTAGTTTGTGTTTTAGTTTAAATGGGTTTTAGTTTGTTAAAGTAGAACAATATAAATTTCAACAAATGAGTTGTTAGCTCACGATAGAAAAATTTCAAATGAAAATCAATTTCTGTTATGAGCTAAGATTAATTATAAAAGAGGCTAGCAGAACAGATGTGAGATGTAGTTGAAAACAAAGATAAACCAATGTACAGTGCTGCAATTACTTTACACAATGAAATATGTGCCAATCCCATCTTAACTCTGCTCATATTGACATTGAACTGCCTGTATTAGATTCCAATACTTGTAAATTGTAGCACAGAAAACGTACTACTATAACCCAGAATGCCAACCGCATGGTAAAAAGCATTAAGCGGTTTGAGAGAGCTTTGCCTGTCAATCCGTAGGCAGCGCCACCAGCGTTGCCATGCAATAGCATAGCAACGCTGGTGACTTTACCTACGGATTGACAGGCAAAGCTCTCTCAAAACACTTAATGCTTTTTACCATGCGGTTGGCATTCTGGGTTATAGTAGTACGTTTTCTGTGATTGTAGTCAGGTATTTCTTTTCATTTCATTTAACCCTACTTGAAAATGTTTTGTGGGATGTGGATTTACAATATATAAAAATAAAAAGTATTTACACTGTCATAATTTGCATCGCCTATTTACATAACCGCAACTAAAACTTAACAACACGAAGCCAACATTAGTAACAATTAAATAAATCACAACCGATTAAAGATATTTGCAACAAAATAAACCGTGTCGATATACAGGAAAATTACAAATGTATAAATTTGTACATTTCCTACTAGTGTAAATTTACAAAAAATATTAGTTATGTCTAGCTACAAAGAAAGACAAGAATACATTTAATACTATGAAAAAACAGTATAAAATGACCTGAAGGTTGGTTTAATCGTCCGGTGTGAACTATCCTACCATCACAGACATTTCAGCCCTCCACTACGTGTTCTACAACCTACTTAAGTGAACATCAGAGCTAAGGTAACACTTAACACTGTCAACATGTAAAATGCATAAATAAAATAGTTATTTTTGTGATGAATCTATACTAACTCTAACTGAATATATAAAAATAACAGTCATATAAAATACTGCACTTTGTTTAAACACTGGACTATTTAAACTGATTGAAGGTCATTGTGTATATAGTTTTACTATGCGTTTAAAACTTTCAATAACATAAATATACTTGAGAAATATTATATAAAAGTCAGGATAGTGTTTTTGTAAAGGAAATATCCATACAACTCCTGTGAGGGCTATGTATAAATATGGACGCAAAATGCACATTTGGTTAACTGAGAATATTGCTACAGCTTACAGCTTGGTATGTTTGACATTGTCAGTCCAGTAGTTCTGAATCGTCATCGCTTCCAAGCTATTCAGGAATGAATCATTGTCCAAACTGTACATTTCTTCTGAATTCTCCTGTAAATGAAAAATTAGAACGTTATTCCAAAAATGTTGTCTATGAGATAACTGTTGATAACATCAATCACTCCTCGTTTTTAATAGGTACTTTATAATGCTGAACAGGTAGGTGGACCAGAGTTCTTTTGATCCGAAAAATTTACTGGGGAGAAAATGTTACTGTTTTCAAATTAAAAAAAGCTTTACAATATGTTTAGAAATACTAACTAAACATATGTCCTGGTATAGAATACCAAAGAAACCAGGAATTGTAAATTAAATTTGATGACTGGAAAATTTGGAATAGTTGCCAATAGCCTATGGCTTAGTGTATATTCATAAATCTTCTCACATTGTCGTTCCATTCTGTTAGTTCTCTTTTGGTTGTTGTGTATTAGGAAGAACACAATCACAATAGAAAAAAACATGAATATTACTGTGTGATCACAGTAGATAAATACGGGTATTCCTACATTGGTGAAAGGAAAACAATTTTGTGATGCCAAAAGGGCTTTAGTTAGTTGCCAAGTCCCAATTAGTTTGGAGAAACAAGACTCTGGTGTATCCATAAAAGGTTTTCAGACCCAATAATTCCTTATAGTATAGGCATTAAGACAAAATCTTCAAAAGTCAAGATGCCTTATAAGCTATATATTGTTACTATATAGCTTTTTTCTACGAAAGTGGTAGTTCACAAGAGGTCAACATGAGAAAAAAGTTTTTATTTATTTATTTTTATTTATTTAGTTTTATTTATTTGCTATTTAAGAGACTTCCCTCAGCTTTCTGATTTCAGTAAACTTTGTCTTTATGCTGATGACACCAATTTGAAAATCACTGTATCAACCGTTGCTGAATTAGAAATTAAAATTAATTCCGACCTAACTCTCTTAAAAAAATTTTGTAATGCCAACAATTTGCTTTTAAATCCTGAAAAAACTAATATTTCATGATGGGTAGCCTCTGGACCATACAGCAACAATAATAATGGTTTAGTTTACCTCTGTCAATATGGTCTTTGCGTAGTTTGTCACTACTGCAGTTTCGTGCTCGTGGAGCACATCATCAGGTGAAGGTCACAAAAAGTTAAAACATTTTCCTTACGTGAAGGTCGTCAATTAACACACCGAAAAAAACACATAACACACGAACGGTACGAAAAAAACATTTAACTTGGCCAATACATTAAAGACGTTACACACGGGGTCCGGCGCCGGTAGAAGCCAAGTCATGACTGACGTGTGTTGTAGTCGGTAGCCCCCCCGTCCTCACTTCTCTTATCAGAACCTTTTCTTTGGTCTTGTTCCAGGATGTGAATGGCGGTATTATAAATAATGTTTGACTGGAATGAGAGTTGTTCGTTTAAAATATGGTTTGGATGTACTTTAGCTGCTCGGTAAATCTCAAATTCTTCGATGGTGTCCATGTATTTACTTTTATGACAAGTATGCATTACTTCTAAATTTGTTTGTATATCGGTATAACTATGGTTTGAATCAATGATATGGTTGGCAAAAGCTGATTTGGAGTTCTTTCTTGGTAAATGTTCCTTAAATCTAGTTGCAAAAGATTTAAAATGTAAAATATTAAGGATATAAATAAAATGATTTCATCCTGTACCAACCTTACCAGAGGGACTGACAATGGGGTCGCCTCTTTCCAGTGTTCTGTCAGAACTGTTTTTGAATAAAATTTAAAACAAGTTTCTATTCTCTGATTTAAATCGCTATAAGAGCAAAATCATCCATTACAGCAGATACGTAGACGATACATTTATCGTGTTCCAGGGTAATGAAAGGCAGATTAAGCTACTAAGCACATACTTTAATACTTTCCACAAGAACTTGACATTCACAGTTGAAATTGAGAAAAATAAGACATTAAATTTCCTGGACGTTACCATCACAAGAGCAAACAACAGGTTTGATTTTAAAATTTACCGGAAACCTACAACCACTGACCAGACAATTCATTCAACTTCGCATCATCCCCATAATTATAAATTATCTGCCTACAATAGCTATGTCCATAGACTGCTTTCCATACCACTAAGCCCAGAAAATTACAACAATGAAATAGACATATTAAAATACATCGCAGTATCTAACGGATATGAGAGTGCCCTGATCGACAAACTGATTAGGAAACAAAGAAACAATAAAAAGGATAATCAGATACATACAAAAGAACCCAAAAAATATGTTAGTGCAGAATATGGCATCGTACTTAATAATTTTCTCAAAAAAGAATTAGCAAAAAACAATATCACAGTTGCTTACAAAACCACAAACAAACTGTCCAGTAATTTAAAAGAAAGACAAACTGACAATAGCGATAAATTAAACTGGAGTGTATAAAATAACATGTAATGATTGCCCCAGTTTTTATATTGGGCAAACATCACGCTCTTTTGCAACTAGATTTAAGGAACATTTACCAAGAAAGAACTCCAAATCAGCTTTTGCCAACCATATCATTGATTCAAACCATAGTTATACCGATATACAAACAAATTTAGAAGTAATGCATACTTGTCATAAAAGTAAATACATGGACACCATCGAAGAATTTGAGATTTACCGAGCAGCTAAAGTACATCCAAACCATATTTTAAACGAACAACTCTCATTCCAGTCAAACATTATTTATAATACCGCCATTCACATCCTGGAACAAGACCAAAGAAAAGGTTCTGATAAGAGAAGTGAGGACGGGGGGGGCTACCGACTACAACACACGTCAGTCATGACTTGGCTTCTACCGGCGCCGGACCCCGTGTGTAACGTCTTTAATGTATTGGCCAAGTTAAATGTTTTTTTCGTACCGTTCGTGTGTTATGTGTTTTTTTTCGGTGTGTTAATTGACGACCTTCACGTAAGGAAAATGTTTTAACTTTTTGTGACCTTCACCTGATGATGTGCTCCACGAGCACGAAACTGCAGTAGTGACAAACTACGCAAAGACCATATTGACAGAGGTAAACTAAACCATTATTATTGTTGCTGTATGGTCCAGAGGCTACCCATCATGAAATTGGAAACCAGTCAGGTTAAATTAGCCTTCAACTACAAGAACATTAAGTTAAAACTTTTCAAAACCACCAAAAATATAAAATTTAATAAAAAATGCCTTGAATACGGAATTGTTCCTAAATATGTTACAATTAAAATAACATGTCATTCTAAAGCCGCTAGAAAAGCGAAAAAAGTTGCCGAGAAAGCTTGGATAAAGAGTGAAATCAAAACTTTATATGCCAAAAAATGTATGCTGAATAAACTGTTGCTAAGCAAACATTTGGAACTACTAAACAGTTTGCATCCAACCCAGCAAAACAATGTTTTCTTAGAACTCGATTCTCAAATAAATAAGAAAATATTTATAAAAAAGAAATCACAAACTAAGAAAATGAATTTTTTATTAGACTCGCAGCTAGTAAAAGAAACAATAAAATGCAATCACACATTCCATCCAAGAGTCATAAACAATACTAACATAGAATTCAGTAAGTCAGAAATTGATCTATTAAACAAAGGCCTAAACTGCTGAAACAGCTGTTAAATGCTTAAAAACTAACGAAGCTCGTGACTCAACCAGAGTAATGATTGTAAATAAAGTTAGAAAAACTAATAATAATCCGATCCCTAGAAATAAGTATCTGTCGAGGTTCAAACCTCTGAAACAGGTCGCTGCCAGTATCAGAGACAAACTACAGCAGAACAGCGCTGTTATCACGAAGGCAGATAAGGGCAACTGTATTGTCATCCTGGACAGACAGGAGTACGCAAACAAAGTCCACGATTTCATTGAGAACAACAACATCGATCTCCTGTTACAGGATCCCACAGCATCTTATTCTAAGGATATAAATAAAATGATTTCATCCTGTACCAACCTTTTGTCTAAAGAGGAAATCATGCAAAACAAAATGACAAAACCGCAAGCTCCAATTCTACGCGGGTTACCAAAGATACATAAACAAAACGTCCCAATAAGGCCCTTAGTTAATTATAGACCGTCACCGGCATATAAAATTGCACAGAAATTAGATAAGATTATTAGGAAGGAAACCAAGTTAGAAAATGACCATAGTGTAAAGAATACAATTGATTTGGTAAATAAAATATCTAACATTGACCTAAAGGGATCCTATATACTCGCTTCATTTGATGTTGTAAATTTATTTACTAACGTACCAATCGACGAAACGTTAGATATATTGAAAGATAATTTAAATACACACTCTACATTGTCCAACGAGGCTAAAAACGAACTTATAAACTTAACAAGATGTGTTTTAAAACAGAATTATTTTATGTTTGATAACAAATATTACAAACAAAACGAGGGACTGACAATGGGGTCGCCTCTTTCCAGTGTTCTGTCAGAACTGTTTTTGAATAAAATTGAAAACAAGTTTCTATTCTCTGATTTAAATCGCTATAAGAGCAAAATCATCCATTACAGCAGATACTTAGACGATACATTTATCGTGTTCCAGGGTAATGAAAGGCAGATTAAGCTACTAAGCACATACTTTAATACTTTCCACAAGAACTTGACATTCACAGTTGAAATTGAGAAAAATAAGACATTAAATTTCCTGGACGTTACCATCACAAGAGCAAACAACAGGTTTGATTTTAAAATTTACCGGAAACCTACAACCACTGACCAAACAATTCATTCAACTTCGCATCATCCCCATAATTATAAATTATCTGCCTACAATAGCTATGTCCATAGACTGCTTTCCATACCACTAAGCCCAGAAAATTACAACAATGAAATAGACATATTAAAATACATCGCAGTATCTAACGGATATGAGAGTGCCCTGATCGACAAACTGATTAGGAAACAAAGAAACAATAAAAAGGATAATCAGATACATACAAAAGAACCCAAAAAATATGTTAGTGCAGAATATGGCATCGTACTTAATAATTTTCTCAAAAAAGAATTAGCAAAAAACAATATCACAGTTGCTTACAAAACCACAAACAAACTGTCCAGTAATTTAAAAGAAAGACAAACTGACAATAGCGATAAATTAAACAACACTGGAGTGTATAAAATAACATGTAATGATTGCCCCAGTTTTTATATTGGACAAACATCACGCTCTTTTGCAACTAGATTTAAGGAACATTTACCAAGAAAGAACTCCAAATCAGCTTTTGCCAACCATATCATTGATTCAAACCATAGTTATACCGATATACAAACAAATTTAGAAGTAATGCATACTTGTCATAAAAGTAAATAAATGGACACCATCGAAGAATTTGAGATTTACCGAGCAGCTAAAGTACATCCAAACCATATTTTAAACGAACAACTCTCATTCCAGTCAAACATTATTTATAATACCGCCATTCACATCCTGGAACAAGACCAAAGAAAAGGTTCTGATAAGAGAAGTGAGGACGGGGGGGGGGCTACCGACTACAACACACGTCAGTCATGACTTGGCTTTCTACCGGCGCCGGACCCCGTGTGTAACGTCTTTAATGTATTGGCCAAGTTAAATGTTTTTTTCGTACCGTTCGTGTGTTATGTGTTTTTTTCGGTGTGTTAATTGACGACCTTCACGTAAGGAAAATGTTTTAACTTTTTGTGACCTTCACCTGATGATGTGCTCCACGAGCACGAAACTGCAGTAGTGACAAACTACGCAAAGACCATATTGACAGAGGTAAACTAAACCATTATTAAACTAATATTATTTGTTTTAAAACTCGATCAGCTCAAAATATAACTCAACCTAATGTTACCATATTTGATAAAAAAATTGAGGTTAAAGACAGCATAAAATTTTTAGGATTAGAAATAGAAAGTACACTTAAATGGAACCGTCATGTTGAACAATTACTCACTAAAATTTCTTCTGGCCTTTATGCATTGGTTAGGTTGAAAAATTTTTGTGAAAAAGAATCTCTAAAAGTTGTTTATTTCTCTTACATCCATTCAGTGATATCATTTGGGCTATCTCTTTATGGTGCAACTACTAAAGAAAACTTAAACTCTATCTTGATAATGCAAAAAAAAGCCATTAGAATTATTCGTAATTTACAACCCAGAACTTCAGTTAAAGATTATTTTAAACTAGAAAACATAATGACTGTTTATGGAATGTATGTTTTTGAAACAGTTTTATCCATAAAAAATAGATTTCAGGAATTGGAGCTAATTGGTAACAATCATGAATATAACACCAGAAATCGGGGCTGTATCGCAATGAGCTATCACACTCTGGAACTTTTCAAAAAGAAACCTAAATATGCTGGTTCAAAATTTTATAACATAATTCCAAAAAGCATAACAGATGAGGTGTCAACCAAAAAATTCAAAATTAAATTGAAGCAGTACCTCATCAGCAAAGCTATATATTCTTTCGATGAGTTGTAGGAGGTAATGTCAATTTTTGCATATATTGTTAATTCTAAGAAACCTTTGTTTTTCATTTTTCAATACCTGTATATTTGACACTATTTATGTATGTATTGTATACTACTAACAAATAAAGATTATTTGAATTTATGGATGTGCCGGGAATTGAACCCGTCCCTCCCACACTAAAAAGTCCGAGACGCTAACCACTAGGAGTAACACAACCACTTTTACAAGTTAACACGTTCGCTGCGGCACGTAAAATGGCGGGCGTATCCCCAGTGCGGCGCAGCCCTCAGCGTCGAACAAACCCGATTGCCGCCTGTGATTGGCTTTCCAATTTTGGTCTGACGAATAGCAAATAACGTGTGGGGATGTCCTGCTTTACAACGAGAGTCGACGTAGTTCGCTAAACATCCACAGATAGTAGCACTGCTTGGAACGTAGCCGATCCCATTGGAATTGTATTACCAAATGGAGGGAAAAAGACGGGACAAAAAGTTGATTTTTAAGATTGCCAGACGGGGATTTTATGGGGAAATTTACTACAACAAAATGCAAGTCACATGAACTACACGCTAACGTGGTATAGGTCCGCTTTCGGCCGACGCTAGAGCAAAAACGAAGATATACAAAAGGCATTGCCGAGCGTTCCCGATGGGGTACGGACGCACCGTACTAGGGCCAAGCACCATACCCGATCGGGAACGGCCGCAGTAAGTAATATTGGAACTAATTTACTTTGAGTTTAAGTCAAAGACCAAATAATATTTGCCCTACAGAAATAGAATTTTACATTTTTAACAGCCTGCATGTGAAGTATTGTATTACTTACCCTAAGTGTGCTGTCATCAATGTAGCCGCTAGAGTCAGCGTTGCTGCATTTGTCACTCAACGTCTGCGGTTTGTTCCACATTCTGTGACGGTAATAAACAAATCCTCCACCTGCTGTACAAACACTCAACGTTAATTATAAATGTTCATATTAAATCTGAAAAAATATATTGTTCTTTGATATTTTTTACACATACATATTTTGTTGAACACTACATCACACAAAAAACTTAAATTCATAAAAGAAGCTCTAATTTTGATTATTTCAGATAGTCACCAAGTAGTATAAAAGAAACTTCTTAAACGTTGCATCAAAACTGTTTGTTTACTGTGTGACATTGAAGAGTAAAATAAAACATTAATCACCAATCGTCACATCGTGTGCACTTACCTACAACTGCCAGTAGCGCGGCTGTACCCAGAGTAACCCCAGATATCAGAACAATGTTAAGATCCTCTGACGGCATTGTACGGCCATCTGCGCTTGTAGAGTTGTCTTCGCTTATACTTGCTGTAAAACAATACAAAATCAATTTGTTGGAAAATTGTGTGCAGGCTAACCTTTTTTACCACATTACACAGTAAATACCTAGATAGTTTAGTTTGTGTACTCATTGTAGCCGAGAAAGTTGCAGTTGCTTTAAGCAAACAGTAAAGTCGGCGAGTCCAGTAATTTTTGCTGTATGCTGGTAAATTAACCAACTACCGCTACTCTCATGTGCACAGGAATTTTTTTTTAAAGGTATGATATATGTTTTTTTAATAGGCCCTTAAAAAAGCTACACAATCAAATTTTGTGTTAATATAGTTAACTATTTATTTGTTTCTGAGACAAAAATTATCATACATGACACCCAGGAAGACATATTTTACGGTACTTGCATGAAATCCTGCACTTGGCAAGCCTCACACGGGAACTATCATACTTGTACCAGCAACACCTACTTCTCGTCCTGGTAACGTTACTTAGCACTATTCTTGAAACTTTGTGTTTACCAATCGACTACCATCTATCACAGGGGCCACCTTATACCTTACAATACCAAGACACTGAGCAGTTTAAATCACCTGGTAGAGAATGTGCTAATTAAAACTATTTAGAAAATTGCTTTAAAGTTTCAACGTTACTTTTAGCGAAGAGAATTATTTATGAAGCAAAGAAGTATGAAGTGGAAGTTTTTGTTCATAATATAAAATTGTAAATCTAATTTAAGTCATTATCCTAGATGTATTTTGCACTCTTACTTGAGTTTTGTAAAAGGCCATCCAGAGTTTCGTCATCAGAGATATCCGTAGAGTTATTGACCGCATCACTCTCGCTCTCTGTAGCAACCGGCTGATCACTCATCAAGCGAGTCTCATTGAGACTAGCTACCTTAGTCGTGTTGACTGGCCCTTCAATGACATCTCCTTTGACTTTCCTCATAAATTTGCTGGGAACTTTCAAATTAGAACTATCCGCTTTGAAACTAGAATCAACAGAGGAATTCAATTTAGAATCTTTTTTAAAGGAATTGTTGTACTTTATAACTGGATTCGGGTTGTAAATGGGTAGCTTTGGTTTTTCACCCGCGCTGTCGTTTGAAGGTTTGATTTCTGCAGCGACTTTCTTAAACTCGCTTGCATTGTACTTTTTTGGCTCGTTTTGTTTGTTTTTCTGGTCCTTTATCACCTGAGGAGTTTCCTTGGCCTCATCCTCATTGTCTAAAGAAACTTCTTCACTGCTGGTCTGTTGGCTCGTCACTTGCGTATCGTTGAAATCATCTTCTGTTATTTCATAATCTTCCACTTTTTTTGGAATGCGGGGTTGGAATGTTTCTTCGTCAGGAGATCTTTTTGCCCTTTGATATGTTACAGTGTCTCCTAATGATGTGAAGACTTCTCTAGGTACAGCCAAGGAGCTCTCAGCGGTTGATGTAAGGAGCACAGCTACCCATAATACTGAAATCAAAGAAAATATTACCTTTTTACCGAAATAATAATGGTTCTCATTCTTAAGGGTGTGCTCTACCTCAGCTCAGAAATCGCAACTCGGGCCTCAGTAGCTATGTTGCGCCATTGAACAGCGCCGCGAGAAGCGCTTGCAGATGTTTAAGTTTCAACCCAGAACCACCAACTTACTTCAATCAGTGTGTGTAATTTAAAGTTAAATTACTCACTTAACTTTTAAGATATTTTACATCAGAAGATTGTTCCTCACTCTTTAGATTCAAATTTATGACTACTAGTGGAACCCCGTCGAAATCGACGGTTAATCTTGAGGTTTTATGTAAATTCAGCAAACTGTGTAGGATAGAGTGAAGTCATTAAAATCTTAGATATATGAAGGGAGGATAAGCAATAATAAGTATGACGATTGTGTTCCCTAAAAAACGTGATTGATGAATTCGGTTAACACAATATTTCCTACCTTTCTTTTTATCGGCATTAGGTTGCCCAAAAGGTTTTTTAGGAGTCTCATAATTGTTTGTTCATGAGTTTGTTTCAAACCAAAGCCACTTTCACTATATGGGAGAATGAGTTCATATAATTAGTCTATCATGTTACGGAAAGAGTCAATATTTATTACTAACCACTAATTCCATCTGCTTTAGGAAAATCATTCAGATTGTATCCGGATTTATAAGTAAATCTTCATATTTTTTTTATAAAAATATCTGATGCTCCAGAAAGCAGTAACATTCTTACTTCGATCTCAGCAATTTTAAATCCTTCTCTTGCCACATCGACCCATGTATTTAATCATCCTGTTCTTACTTGATAATTCATTAACTTATGGAGTAGTTTTGCCTTGGCCATATAGATCACATAAAGCTGTGCATGTATTTCGTGGATTGGAATGAACCATAATTGTAGGAAATCTCATCACAAATCTTGAACATTTGCGGAACCAAATCCATAACCTAGTCCAGCATTGGTAACAAATTATGCAAATGCGATGAGATGTGATGACACTTTTATGTTTCAGAATGTTTGTATGTAGTGAGGTTTGGATGCGTTGTTCAACCTAGCTACATGTGTACATCAAAGTAAAAACTGTGTACAGATTTTTTTTTAAATACCTGAATTGACATTAATTCACCTTGTTTACCAAAACCATAGACTTCGTAGTTAGTCTATTCCAAAACTTGAACACAGCTCTCATCCTCAACGTACTCATCTATGACACAATTTTCAACCCGATTATCAAAAACTGTTACACCAATAAATGAATCTCAGGTGTTCTTTCTTGAATTTAAAAATAAATGGTGATTGAAAGTAGGAAAAAAAGGAAAGTGCCAACCTTACAATATGCACCCCCGATAAGGAATAGTTATATGTTCCTTTGAAATTGATAAGTCACACTTATTTCATAATTTAAAATTCTCTAAGAGCAATAAAGCATAGATTTTTGAACAAAACATTTCAAACGTATCATAAATTCATCATTTTGTTGAAACTATAAAAAACTTGCCATGCAGTGGAGAATCCATTTAAAATCATAAATAATAATGTAAACATTTAATTTTGACAGTTTCAGTAGACCTTTGAATACAATTTTAATATTAACAGCTGGTTCATAAAAGTAGTGTAAAATTATCCATATGGTTGAAATGTAAACAATATTGCAGAGTGAACTTTAAAGGCCTCTGGGGCAGAGCCCCAAGGGAATTTACCTCTTTCCTCTTTTGATGGCTCATCTACAGACCAAGACCTTTCTTTAGAGACCCCTACCAAGTTTATACGCCCAGCCGTTCTCTCAAATTAGCTGTGACAAAAACCCCGTTTTCCTCCATAAGAATAACATGGGATGGGAATTTAAAGGCCACGGGGGCAGAGCCCCAAGGGAATTCACCATGTTTCTCTTTTGATGGCTCATCTACAGACCAATACCTTTCTTTAGACACCTCTACCGAGTTTCTACGCCCAGCCGTTCTCTCAAAATAGCTATGACAAAGAAAAACAGTTTCAAATTAATATATAGATGTAAGTGTAAAATGCTTTTGAAAAACGCTTATTTTGAAGAATTTACAGTCACCTCCCACTTGAAATTCTACCATTATCAGAAAATTAAAAAAGTACAAGCCTACAGATATAAGGAATGAATAAATTAACATAAATATATTTTTAATCGGTTAAGAACTAAGCTGACAATGACGGTGATCCTAAACCCTTGCCTTAACGTGCGGCGGACAGGTAGAGCGCACCCTTAACACAGATTGATAATATGAATAGGGTATATAATAATGTGAGTCATCATCTCACTTAGGCCTTGATTTTTATGTAGGCCTAGTGGCATAAAACCATCGTTTAATTTTATTTAACTTAGTTAAAACTACTAACAGAACATGAATTCTATATTTTAAATACATAGGCCTAACTAACTTTTTTACACTACTTATTGTTAATCCACACTTGAGACATCATTCAAATAAAATATTATTAAAAATATATATTGAAAATGTTTTAAATGCTGTTGACAATTATTTTTAGCATATCTCCTATATAGGGAATAATCCTATTACCATAGATCTCATGGTAAGACCTAGGCCAGGGACCAATTTACTTATTCATTTTTAGGTCCTAAGAGGCCAAAAACACCATTCTTTCAAATTCATATAATATATGTCTGTTAGCCCAATAACCCGAGCTCAATTTAAAAAATAATCCAATGTTGATTAAATTATTTGTTATTAACAGGTTTAAATCTAAATTTTCCCGTGGGAACCAGTATGATTGGACTATGGGAACGGAGTTTATGAGGGGTTTTAAGGTTTTTTTTTAATTTTTGACCTTAAAAACAACAAATTATGTAGAGCTTAGACAAAAACAAATAATTTAGTAGGCCTATATTGAAGCATTACTATGCACCAAATGGTTAAGGGGAAGATAAAAAACTTTAAATTAAAAATTCTTAAGTTGTTATAGAGAATATAAGTAAATTGTAATAGTTTATTGTTTATGAACAAAATTTTACCAAATTTGGAAAATTTATTTATTCCATACTCGACTATAAACATTTTAACAAAAAAAAAACACTTAATACCTTCCCTTTAGCAGCAAAACTATGTAGGCTACTCGTTAAACTAATGTTTGGAAATAGGGGAATAAATATGATATTTCTAATAAGTTATTTTAGTGAAAATCCAATCAGGCAAATGAAAATTTTGCAATTATGCTGTGACGGGGATATTTAAAGCATCACTATCAAGGGTCTTATTAAGGTTGTAATGAATAAGGGTCTGATCATTTATTATAAGAATAATCCAGCAACATTTCTCTTAAGACAACATTTAAGATCAGTGTTTGGGCCATTTCCTCACAAAATCCATAGTATTTCGCTATTCTGTCAAAGGACACATATAACAATTGATCTGAAGAATGTGGTATATATAATTGGCGTCTGGGGTCAAAAAAAAAAAAATACACAGTTAGTAACCCCTTACAATGACGTCTACAACACTTAACACGAAACAATAGTGTCAATTGCTAGTTTATCCGAATTTCTACATATTACTTAAAAATTATGTGACAAAATGAAATACCTAACTTGATTGATACATTATAGTTGTTGCCAAATCTAATTACCTTGAAGGGAAACTAAAACTGAGAAGATATTGTAAAGATGTTGACCACTCATGACTAGAACTCCTTCCCCACTGGCATTATGAAACCAGGAAGAAGCCACACTACAGTAAGGGAGGGTTAAACCAATAACGCAGTGAATACTCCGACCTAAGTTACTCACTGTATTATTATGAAACTATTAAATAACTATTTTAAATTTAACTATATTTTTGTTTTAACATATTTAAGGAGTGTAGATTTCTAGAACCTTGTATGCACCATAACAGTTAAAAATTACTAGGTATGATTTTTTTTATATTTATCCCATAACACATTGCTTGTTCAATAGCCTAATTGTAGAAAAATAAGCATACCTAGCATAATTTGTTGAATGTTTGAGTAGGCCTGAGGCTTTTACTAATAATGAAAACACAAGTTTTACAAGACAATAAAATAAAGAATAGATCAGGTAACATATTGGTTAATTGTTTTATACAAATGGACATCAAATGTGACATGATTACAATTTCAATCGGTTCATATGTTTTTGAAGTATAGTAGGCCTAAGTGTAGCAATCAATTCCATTGAATCTTCAAATTTAGAAAATTGCAAGGTCCTATAGTGACAAATACGCAAAACTTTTAACTTAGACATTAAAACATCTACTTACATGTAAATGCAAATCCAAAACACCACTGTGTCCAAAAGTGAGAGGCCATAATAGCAGCATCGTGTTCATCTACATTTACCTGAAATCAACATTTTGAATTTTCAACTCGTAGTCTCCTTGAATGAAAACGTCGACCTTTGTGTTTCTGTTTGTAAAAATTAAACAGTAAGACACAAACTTACCATGCAAATTATACTGCAGTTTAGAAATTAAACTGTGTAGCAGAATCAAAACTAATAGGTAACTTTATCGTAATGTAAACATCTATAATGAGAATAAAAAGATTAACTGAGGGAAAACTAACCAAAAATCTATCTAGGCTACATAAAAACAAATCTAACAGCTGATGCATCTGCAAAATCATAAGCGTGAATAAAATCACCCTTTAATTGAGACCCTTAAGAGAAGTTATTGCCATAAAAATATACAACATTACAATAAACAAGGTAGGACGGATGACAATTACAAGTGGAATGAACTGTGGGTGAAGTGAAGTAAGCCAACAGCTGATTGTTTTCAATCATAGGCCTAGTCAAGCATTAGCCAAATGGGAAGTGACAACTTAAATAGCTACCGTAACTCTGATTCTGATTCTGCAATTTGGACTTGATTAAGTTACACTTCACTTTCAATCCCAATATCAATTATTTAAGATGGGGACGCCACTATGTGCGTATTTTAACCCAAAAATATGAGTGAAGGATGAGTGTAGGATGAGTGGCGCGATCTTGTAGTCTTGTTAGTGACTAAGGCCGACATGTTCCTTAGACACAGCTATTAATTAATACTGTAGCCCAAACAGCTAATGGCAACTAAGGGACCTACAGTTTATAGTGGAATCCGAACCACATTTTTCCTTGTAATTTACGAATAGCCCAAACAGCTAATGGGGTAAAAATTCAGTTTCCACAACAGTTATCAGGATAGTACTGCGGATAGTCGTAGTACTCACTAGTGCGGACGTTAATCCACACCAGTGAGCATCGCATCCACAGTGCATCCCTATAAATATCCACAATTCGTGACCTCCTAGTAGCTGGATTACAGGACGACGCCACCCGTCCCAGTCTAAGACCAATAGGCTAACATTTAACCCTAGCAGTGGCTAAAGATTGTAATACGCTCGTTTGCTGTGACGCCTAGAATGGCCACCAACGTAATACGATAGTAAAGACCGACATTTTTTAACGGTAAAAAAACCACTTAACTTATAGGCCTAATCTTAACTCTGATGTGAACAATAAGGACCTCAATATCTTAAATCTGAAGGGGTTATGATAAAAATTCGAGTTATCAAGTTTTTCAGGTTTCAGTTTCGAATTATGAATGTTCCATAAAAAAGTTCGAGATACTGAGGTGTTGAGGTCTGACAGTGATGTTACGTCACGGTCTATATATAATTCAACGGACGAGCCTCCGTCCCATCAGGAAAAAAAACACATAACTAATGTTACATAGACACGGGCCATAGGGTCTGAGTCGGGACTGTCCCGGCAGAATCGGGACGGGTGGCAAATCTTGTGAAATAAATATTTAGATAACTTAGGTTACAAATTAATCCATCTAACTTAAGCCTAAGTCTATGGTTGTAATTATACAATAACTTATAGCCTAGGCTAGCAACCTACTTGCTTTAATGTTCAATCTTGGTGGTGCAACTATTGCTGCTGTAATCATTGAGGTAGGATTAGGCTACCTATGTTAGGAATGTTTGAAACAGGGTACCTACACTTTGTTCTAGCTATAATTTATTGGCCAGAGATAAGTTAAGACAGTTTAAAAGACATAGTTACTCGTCAAATAGATGATTTCTGTAACCATATTTATAGCAGATAAGAAACTTAAGAGACACCCTATTGTGGGGTGTCTGATTTAGACATGGGATGGTGGACAGAAGAGCGAGTTTATTGTAAACTCTGTCATTTCAAAAACAACAACGTTTACGATCTATGAAAAGACTTTTAAAATATTTAAACTAATATTCGAAAGATAATTAAGAAATGTTATTTATTCAATACATACCAAGAAATTGATCGGGATTTACAAACATCAGGATGACATTACTCAACAGTGAGTAATGTGTGTGAGTACTGAGTTTCTGAGTTGAGTGTTGAGTGTGAGTGTGAGACTGAGTTGAGTCTTGAGTGTGAGGTGATGCGACTTGGACTGGACTAGGAGCAAGGAGTGAGCAGCGATCACGAGGAGAGGAGACTGAACGCACTGAGGAGTGGGAAGACTGGACTGAGGAGTGAGAAGACTGGACTGAGGAGAGAGTAGACTAGACTGATATTGCAGAAACCTTCAATCTAAAAAAAACATCAAATATAAAATGGGAAAGAAAGAAAGGCGGCCGTGAAAGAAAGTATAAGAACCAATAATTAAATATGTATAATAAACTATTTATACTGTACCAACACTGGTCCGCTGCTCCATGTTCCCGATCCCAATAGTCAGTCCAATCCATGAATTTCCAATTCCAAGGGGCGTGGAGTGGAGTGAATCTAGTGAGTGATGGTGTGGAGTGAGGACCGACTGAACTGACTGCTTTATTATTTCTTTTCAGTTTTAGTTTTCTTTTCATTATTTCATTTCAACTTCAACAGTTAGAGTGTTAGAGTTAATAGCATCAGCGTGGTTGTCAATCACGTTTAGGTTAGGAAGTTGTTATTGAGTTTGTGGTGATCAGTTTTAGATAAGCTATACCTTAAAAACTCAATTTCATCACAATGCCGGTTTCTAAAAGGGATAAAAAAGGTAAGCAATAATATGAGACATTTTTATGATGTTTAATGATAAAATAAAATCTATCTATCTAAATCCTATTTAGTCCTAGGCCTCTAGAGGATTAAAAAAACCGAAGCCATTATGATTTCAACACTTCAAGGTGGCTGAAAAGTCCCTTTACACTAAAGGTAGGCCTAGGCTAAATTCAATGGGTGTTGATTTAAACCATAGAAATGTAGGCTTATTTTAATCGAAAATTTATTGTGGACTAGGCCTACACCAAGTGAACATCATGTTTTTAGTCCCAAACATTGGCTTGCATACCTCCATTGTCTTGGCAAAGCTTGACCGGCCATAAGTTAGCTCATTCGTTTCAGCATTTCTGGGGTGACTCGTGCAAAGGCCGCCCTTAATCTCTAGGTAAGTTTACTGAGTGTCCCCACGTCCAAGGGCTGTGGCGGCGGTTGGGAAGGGAGAGTGAGGCTCCCTCCACATTCTCTCCCCACACTGTTGCCTTACTACTCACGTACGATTATTACTTGCTGATCAGTCGTGTTTAATTATAACATTACTGTAACCTACTGCAATATTGTATATGAAGGGACTTTTCTGCCACCCTGTACAATCATCCTACCTTTTATATTTATTTATTTATTCCAAAGGCAAGATCACCAATTTACAATGTAGATTCAAGAAGCATATGTGGTAACAACGTGCATTTTAACAGAAAACTTAACAACTAACTTAAATCTATGGCTGGAGCAGAGCAACATTGGTAACAGGAAATATAATCTTGACTAGGAAAGCAATAATTTAACAATGAAGTACAAAATAATTGTGAAAAAGCAATAAAAAAGGTAAGAATTTGGTCTGGCAATACAGTAAAACAATCGATCCAGCAAAAGCAAGGTAAATCTTTGGCTAGGAAAGCTATAATATAACAATGAAGTCGAAATAGAATATGAAAAAGCAATAACAATAAAATATTTTATGCAAAAAAAACAGTATTAAACAAACGATAACATACTGTAACTCAAACGTACCTAATTAAATTTACAGAAAACGTAAAAGATAGCAAATGACGAATAACAATGGGACACACTAGGTTTCATTGGCAGGGGACCAGGATGTGGCCGCAGAACGCCTGATGGTTGCTAGGCTGTCATGAAAGAGGTCCACTGAAGCCGAGACGTAGTTGCCGGAACGCATGAGCCTTGGAATAGGGCTGATCTGGAGGTAACTTCTTCCTGCATGCTCCAGCTCAAATAAACGCTGCTCCCGAGTCCTGATGGTGGGCACTCTGAAATTCATCTTCCAGGAGGTAAGGACCAACCACCTCTCTGAGGAGCTTGTAGAGGAAGGACACATCTGCTACTCGTCTTCTACATGATAATGGCTGCAGCGCGTAGGATTCTGAGATGACATCAATGGGGACTACTAAGTAGTTGAACCCCTCTCGGCGTCCCAGGAACCTGATGAATCGTCTTTGGACTGACTCTCGTTGATCTGTAAGGCCGAGTTGGTATGGAGACCATACAACCGAAGCATACTTAAGTAGCTGATGGACAAGGGACTTGTATAAGATGGTAGCTGCTACGGAATCCAGCCCGTGATTTACCGTCCGAATAACAAGGCCAAGGGTGCGGCAGGCCCTGGCACATATGTCACCAACGTGGTGTCCAAACTCAAAGGTGGAATTAATCGTGACCCCAAGATCCTTCATGCGACTGCATCTCTCCAGCTGGTTCCCAACCAAGACATAGTCGTATTCAATGATGTTGCTGATCCGGCTATAAGTTATCACTTTGATTTTAGCTTGATTGATGTACGTTCGTTGAGCACCATTGATAAACACTTTCTAAAGCTACCTGTAGCAGTAGGCCTAAACAGTCATGACGTAATTTCACTTCCGATTTCATATTGAGCTTTATTTGTTATGTCCATGGCATTTTTTGAACTAAATTATATTATTATAGGTGGGGCCCATTATATTTTTTTTTCAAATTAATTTGAGATGGGGATGACAGCGTGCATATTTTAACCCAAATATGAGTGAAGGATGAATGTAGAATGGAGTGGGATGCCTTGGGTAACTTTGTTACTGATAAAGACCAGCTGTTTGATTAGTCAGGGTAATTTATTGAGCCCAATGACAGTTTTGGTTCTACAAGACAGGTAGGCCTAGCACAGGCTCTTAAGGTAAAGCTCTCCAAACCCTCAAGTACGGGTAACGGATATACCCGCCTAAGTCTTTGGCGATAAAGGACGGGTGGCGCATATATCCGAATATGGGTTAACCGCACGGGAGATGGATATATCTGCCTTATCTTGAGACAGCCTGGCTGGTATTTTTGCAGTTTACCCAGATGTCTCTGGCTACCACGGCGCTACTTCCCCACGCTCTTCATAACCGCTGCGACCTTGAAAGCGACATGCCGGCTGCCTTCTCCACACTCCCCCCACCCCTAAGATGTATAAAATCTAAAATAAATTTTTATTAAGTATAGTTTAAGCAAATATTTATTTTTTATCGGGATCAAATAACTTACAGCACCTTTTACCCAGCCAATACCCTTCCAAGCAATAATTTTTCTCAACAATTGCAACGATTGTTTAAAAGTGTCTCCAACATTTTCTGCGTTGTTATATCTTAAAATTAATTAGAGAAGAAGCATTGAACATGTATTAAACATAGGCTACACTGCATTGGCTATGAGTAGGCCTAATTAAAAGCTTAAAATATACAACCCAAAATAGTCCTACAATTCAGTGCAGTTGATATTTTCTTTATAGATTCAGCTTTAGTTGGTACTGTAAACCTATTGATTGAAATGCATTTTTTCAGTGTCATTAACAAAGACTACAAAAAAAGGAATGGCAATGAAACAGCAGTTAGTCGAAGATGTAAGGAAATTTCTTGATAAATATGAAAATTTATTCGTCTTCACTACAAACAACATGAGAAATGGGCCTCTGAAAGATCTGCGAGAAGAATGGAAGGATAGTAGGTAAGACCCACTACTTACTGATCAGTCGAGGTTATTTCACCAGCAACATAGGCTACATTAACCCTAGGCCTACTCATCTTAGTAGGACTATTGGTATAAACTAAAGCAATAAGCAGGTTATTATGCTTGTACTCATCAACATTTTAAATTACAGATTCTTTTTTGCCAAGAGGAAAATTATGGCGCTTGCTCTTGGACGAACTGAGGCAGACGAGGTACAGAAGAACTTACACAAAATTTCCAGCCACCTTGTGGGGCAATGTGGCTTGTTGTTCACAAATAGGCCCAAGGATAACGTTGTACAGTAAGTAAATTGTTAGGCAAGTAGGCCTAAGGACTTTTAGCGAATTTCCCTATAGGGAAGTAGCTATTACCGTAGGTGGCAAGGTAAGACCTAGACCCGGGACCGATTTACTTTTTCATTTTGATGTCCCCAGAGGCCAAAAACACCATTCGTTCAAATTTTTATATATGTATATATATAACAATACTTGTGTATATATATATATATATATATACGTCCGTGAACGCGATAACTTGAGTAATTTTGGTCAGATTTTGATGAAATTTGGTTTAAAGGTGTAAAGCGGGATAAACTTGAATGAGTTCGCGAACCAGCACGATCGGACCATGGGAACGGGGTTTTATGGGGTAAAAATTGGTTTTTCTCACTTTTGACCCTCTAAACACAAAATTTCCCGATTTCTCTTTAGACCTTTTTAAAGAGCTTAAAAAAACAAATAATTTAGTATATAAAAGTATTTTTGTTCGATTATTAGTAACGGAGAAAATTTAAAAAATTTTAAATTTAAAATTCCCATGTTATTCTTATGGAAAATATTGTCAAATGTTGTAGTTTGCTTGTTTATGGATACATTTTGATCAAACGTGGCAAATTTATTTATTTTGTACTAAGCTATCAATATTTTACTCAAAAACACACTTTATTAGTTTCCTTGTAGCAGCAAACCTAGGTACTCGTTAAACCTAAAGTTATTAAAATATATTTAACTTAAAATCAATTCAGACAAATGGAAATTCGCTTAGTCGGCAGGTTTGCTGCGGCGGGGGTATTTAATATTATATGCAGCAAATAAAATGTAGTCTTATCTATCTATATATTTAATACGCGACATGAAACTTTGTGAACAATAAGGCTTTTTTGTTTTAAGATTTAACCCCACATATCATATACCGGTACCAAAATGTTCATCTAGGTGTGTAGATGTGCAAACTGGCTTTAGATTTTCTAAATATATCTTTTAAGGGAGTGGGCTGCCCTCAAAGTGCCTTCCATAAGGATAACATTGTGATTGATTTGAATGTTATTATATTCTAAAACAGATGTAGCCCAAGCAAATTAGGAAAAATAGAGGAACAAATCTATGT